TGTAAATGATAATTTTCACCTTGTAAAATTAAATTTACAGGATTTTTCAAATAGTCAATGGTTGATAAATTTTTGAAATAATGGTATTTTCATTCCGATTGTATAAAATATATTGCTCTATTTATTGTAAAAACAATGAGTACTATGCGTGAATCAGTTTTAATATTTAATATTGTGTTAATAGGATTCACTAGGGTTATATTACAACGGATAACTATATATATATATATATATATATATCTTAGTTGTATCTCTTAGCAATTTACATCTTTTTACTATTCCTGCCACTCAATGTTCTGCCATCCATTTACAGTTCGTTGGATAGGTATATATATATATATATATATATATATATATATATATATATATATTTATATATATAATTGTTCATTTGGGCAGCAATCCCTATTTTATACGTTTCATTAAAGACGACTGATAAAGTACTAAGGTTAAGCTTTTCATTCAATTTTTCTTATGTCCGTATAAATGTTTTCTTTTCTCGACATCTATGTAGATTTTTTATATATGTGTATCAACAGCCTTTTTTTTTTTTTTGCATATAGATGAGGCTATTATGTTCGTATTTCCTACATGTATGTTGCAGAGGGAATTTGGATTTCGGCATATATATATATATATATATATATATATATATATATATATATATATATATAAGATGACCGTATAAATTTTTAATATATGTTAAGAACAATTTTAGGGATAGAAGTATGACAAAGTGGAATACTTTTCGTGTTACGTGCTTCCTTTTTTATATTTACGTTGACATCATACGCATGCGCACGAACGATAAACACTGAGAATTTTCAATTTTAAAATATTTTTATGCGTGTTTTGGGCATGCAATCTAGCTGATAATTTTTTGTTTATATTTCCAGCACTTTTGTTACCAAATACCCAACATTGTGATAATAGATTTTCCAAACGCAAATTACTGTGAGTGCTCTAGCGATTAAAGCACTTTCTAAACATTTTGGTCTTGGTAAATCAGTTTTCTCTTTCAATTCGAGTAACATTTTTTAAATCAAAATTGTGGTCTGTCTCGTTACGGTGAGCAACAAATGCGTTTCATGTGTTGTTTTGCAAAAGATCCTTTTGTGTTCATATAATTTTTTATTTAAATTTCTCGAGGTCTCTCCGATGTATTCCTTGTGGCAATTATTACAGTTAATAGAGTAAATTAATCCTTCAAGTTTTAGTGTATTATTTTGTTTTGTATTAATTAAGTTTTTTGTTGTTTCAAACGTAGTTGTGGGAAATTTTATGTTGAGATTAGATAAATTCTTTTCAGTTGTATTTGTGATATAATTATGGGTAGAAAAATATACTTTTTGATTTATTGGGTTTGTCAGAAGAACCGCTTTTCTATTTTGAAATATTTTATGAGCCTTTTGTTTCTCATTGAATATGAAATAGTGCATTGGAGAAGCTTGAAAGTATTTTCAATGTATTTCACCTCTTCATGCAAATACTGAGGACTGCAAATTCACAGAATAGAATAGAATTTTATCATTTTTGTTAGTTGATTTTCGGTGAAAACTAGGAAAGATAAGGTATTGATTATTTCCATTTCACATGTAAATTCTATTGTATGTTTCATTTTTAATTAGTTAATCGCCTTTTGTGTTTCAGTAATTATTGTTCTGTTCATTTATTGATATGTGTCAATATCGTTGAGTAATAAATTTTTTTTTTTCATTGTATCTGTTCTTATTCATAATAACAATCCCACCTCACTTGTCCGAGGAGGAAATGAGGATTTCCTTATTTTTTGCTAGGTTCTTTAGTGCATTTAAGTGTCTCTGTAGTAAAGTTCTTACATTGTTCGTTTCTAGAGGGGGAGTCATTATACCCAAAACACATGTTAAAAATAAAATATTTAAAAATTCATATCTTATTTCGTTTGTATTCATGTGTAGTCACATCAACGTAAACAAACTTAGTCCGATGAAGTCCTAAAGGACGAAACGTGTTACACAAAAACTTAACATTTTGACATATATATATATATATATATATATATATATATATATATATATATATATATATATAGGTTCATCCTGCAAAAATGTGAATGGCTATAGTCATATCATCTGGCATACACGGCCTGTTTTGTGGTTGTTTTTCGTGTAGATATATATATATGATGGTTTTTTGTTTTAGTGCATAGCCATCGTTTGATATCATTCCATATTTTAACCAGTTAACGACATTTGTTTTTAATACCAATTATTGTGTTTGAGTGATTTTTTTTAAAACCCAGGCCACCAGCCCTTGGGATTGAAACAAACAGAGCATCTAGTGATGTTACTTTTAATAAGCAATGTGTTGGAATTTTTTTAAAAGTGAGACCCACTCTCTTAACAAGGATAGCATTTACGCAAGTAAGGTGAATTTATTCAAAGCTACTACAAAAAGTAGAACTAGTTTGCATCAATGGATACAATTGAAGTCAGACATCTTCGAGATGAAGGTATTAACAAATCTAGATTTCCATCTAAGCAGGTCAATGTTCTGGTTTTTTTTTATAGACAGGTGTACTTAAAAAATAGCTTGAACCCTAACACTCTGTCAGAATTAACCTGAAAGTAATAGCAACTGACTCGAAAAACTATCGACTTCCAGAAATGCCACTAATTAAAACCAACCAACACATAATTATACACATATACATACAATTCGTCATGTAAATCAGGTAAACCTCAACTCGAATTTGGTTTGGAAAATTTGGAAAAATTTTTAATCAAATTTTAAACAATTCATTTAGACGTCAACCACTGCTTAACTTAATATTTATCTAGTTTAAACATGTTTCATTAAAATTTCACTTATAAAAATACAGTTTAAAGTTATGCAAAACTAGAATATCATTATTGTACTTAATAACAAGAAAATCCCCAACAATTGATCAACAAACAATAGAAAAATATTAAACATATAAACTTTTGAAGCATTTACATCTTAATATAGTGAATCTTCGTTTTGATAAATGTCATCACCCTGTGTGCATGTACGTATAAGGATAAAGATGCAAGTAAAATGGCCAGATCCCTGCGCTGTTCCAATAAGTGCCTGCCGCCTCATACTATCTTTTACCTTTATAAAAGCCCAATCAGGCCGAAAATGAAGTACTGTTGCCATATTTTGGCATAAACTGCCCGGTCATCACTTTCCAGTCTTGATAAAGTTTCAAGGCGTCTCTAAATCCTTGTTAGAGAAAACTTATTCTCCAAGCTCCAACCTTTCTCTCACAGGCGGGATATGGCAACCCTCTCACTGCTTTATCTCTACTTCCATGGAAAGTGTTCGGACGAACTACTTTTCTTGGTTCCTCTATTTCTAACCTTCATGGCTAGGACCGCCATGACACTTACATTGTAGCAAACAACATGCATTTCCTTCGTATTCCATTGGCGAGAAATAATTCCCACTCAAACAGCTTCTTCCTGCGAACCACGGCGCTGTGGAACTGACTTCGAAGAGGATGTTTCCCTGATCAATGCATTCTTAAATTGTTCTGATCTAGAGTTAACCGTTATCTTCTCCTCTTATCCATATAAACTACCCCTTAACGTAACCCATTACCTCGAGTGAACCTTACTGTAAAAAAATAAATAGAGAAGGTTATTTCAAAATAGTTCGATGCATCAGGAGATATAAATACACTGTATTTTCTCCCAACACGGTCATTTAAAGATGCCAAGCAGATAGAGACGATTCCCATCTCTCTTGAAAGGGCTGTAGCAACCAGGGCGTGGGTGTCTACTTCCAAATGTTTGACAATTGCAGTATTTTTGCAGGGTTTTATTTCAATAAAGATACAATAAAGAAAGAAATACAAGAAAGAAAAAAGACTATCATAGCAAGGAAGAATATAACGCTCATTAAACTCCGATTAAAGAATTCTTCTTTAAAGGTGTACGATGATGATAATTTCCTTTTATCGTGTCGGTGCGTTTTCATTTTTATTTAATAGACGCAACAAACTCGTTTTCCGAAAGGAAATCATATCGAAATTTCTTATTTCGGAAATTTTCAAGTCATTATCTTCCCGAAAACACTAAAGTACGCAATATTCGAATACAGACAGGACAATAGATTAAAATGTTCTTGTAGTACAGTGTAACCCGAATATAAGAGAGTTGTCGGGACCGGAGAAGAAGTCTCTTATATCCGGTTTCTCTTATATCCGGGTTTGGTCTATTTTGTTTAGGTAAGTATGGGCTCTAATTTGGGACCAGAGAAAATCTCTCTTATATCCGGTTTTCTCTTATATCCGGGTCTCTTATATCCGGGTTACACTGTAGTAGTTTTATTTTTTTTAGGCCCAAATCAAAAAGAACGACGTAAAAGAAATATTTTTCCTTCATTAATGAATCTATATTTTCCCTGTAGACATCCCCCCCCAAAAAAAAAGATGAAAAGTTCTTTTATTTGTAACACAGACGGTTCTCTATTATTTCAAAGAGGGTTTCTGCCAATCTAGCAGTACTGGAAATTTTAAATGTTCTTGTCGCTATACATGTTGGCCGCCTTTGATAATTTAAGGTTAAATTTGCCCCCACCCAACAAAAAAAAAAAACATTTGTTTCTCCTACGGCCCTAGCTGAATCTGTTAGAATCTTGTCTAGTTTTCTCTGCTACTTATACGTCTTCAAAATTATCCTTCTCTTATCGTAAATTTTCTTACTCTTAGAAATATGACTACTTATTACCTCGGTTTACATCAAAGAAATTACTATATTTTTAGAAGAATTTCCTGTGTTACCTTCTCACGTCGAAAAAAAAAATTCTTCCCCATCGCATATAGAATCTATCAAATTACAATACCTCAATTTGTTAAAACTCATAATTGTCTTTTAAGTGGCCAGATTAAACTGCCAAAGAAGTTAAACCGGGATAACGAGTAGAAATGGTTACCAGAATTCTAGTCGTCATTTTCCATTTTATCCCTTTTTTTATTCAGAACGACGGCTGTAAAGCTCGTACGATTATTGCAGTTAAGCAACGTCGAACCTGGTTAGTACTTAGATGGGTGATCGCTTGGGAATACCAGGTGCTGTAAGCTTGGATGTGCGGGTGGTGTAATGATAATAGTTCCGAATTGGAAATCAGAGAGCCGAGTTCGTTATATTCACTTGGATTCTTTATATTCCCTTACACGCCAATAACGTTGGGAAAGGCATGAATCCCCCTCTTCTCCCCACCAGCTATGGGTTAATTAGTAAGGCTTATATCACTAAATCATTATTATCTCCAAAAATAATTCTTACAATCTAAAAAAATATTTTCAATATCATGCAAAGGGTTGCTAAAACGTAGAATTCTTACAATCTAAAAACATTTTAAATAATCTGCAAAGGGTTAATAAACAGTAAAAAAACAAACGAATCAGCCAAACCAGTCAAAAGCACCTGACTTCTCCTGCCATGATTTATGTTTACAAGAGTCAGATCAGACAAAAAAGTACTGGAAACAAAAAGAAAATTTATACTTAACATCAAGAAGAGTCAGTTAAAATTACTGGGGCACGTGATGAGGACAGAAGGCTTGGAAAATCTGATACTCACAGAATAGTTTGAAGGAATGAGGGACAGAAGAAAGCAGTGCGTAACATACTTGATGGGTACCTCTCTATATTTCTAAGATGAGGTATTATGTACACTATTTAGATTATTCGGACTATTGTCCTCATATTTGTTGCCATATTTATCAGAACGTTTCATCTGTTGTACGCTCCGGTCTTCTTCAGGTGGTTGGAATGTCAAACTGGACCCTTTATTTCGCTCGCTGTGGTAGGCTGGAGGGAAAAGGGAGATCACCGTCCTCTGTGGGATCAGGTTGAAATCATAGAAAAAAACATCATTGGAAAATTCGTAAACTTAAGGAATCTGCACATATGCTAGGCCACAAAAATCTCCTGAGTCGACCAAGCATAGAAATGAATACAATGTGAGAAGCAGTAATAAAGAATGCCAGAGAAAAGAAATAATAACAAAGAAAATTGCAATATGAGCTCTGGTAAAAAAATATAATGATAACAGCAAAAATTGTAATATGAACACTGGTAAAAAATGTTTGCTGAAGGCATTAAGTTTCTAAGTGCCAGAAATTCATACACAGATGTCCTTAAGGACACATGGCGCAGTGGATAAAGGCGTTGGTTAGATCCAGTGACAGGACCCAAAGAGTTGTGTGTTTATACCGGGTTAAGGCAGTGGAGAACTTGGAGAGGTGAATTAATAGGAGAAAACGGTTAGCTGACATTAGACATGGCACGTGGAACAAGAACAGTCTACCCCAGCGAGCGAAATAATGGGTTCATTCCAATCAGGTGAAGAAGGCCGGAGCGTACAACGGCCGAAACGTTGTGATAAATATGGCAACAAAGATGAGGACAATAGTCCGAACAATGTAAATAGTATACTAGATGGGCTTGAGAAAATGGATGGTAGAGAGAACAAAAAGACAAAACTTATTAAGAGCTACAAGAGACAGGAAGATGTAGAGAGCCATGATAGCGTACGTCCTGAAGGTACACGACACATTACAGAAGAAAGAAAAACTAATTAGATTGTGCTAGAAATTCGTCATGTGCTATTATGTTAACGATAGTGCAAGTAGTTATTTTCTAAGCGGAGCTTAGATGTGGCACAAGGCCGAAAGTGTGGGGTACCTAGAGAGGATCGAACTCACTTTTCAGTAGTAACTGATCTAGCGAGACAAGTTTGCTAACCATTATACCACACCGAGGTGCCCACGAAAGTGCAATTAGCTCTGGTCACGGGGTTGTTTACTGCTGTAATGCTCCGTAAAAAATGGTTTCATTCCTTAAATACTAAACTTTGATACTTTAAATGTTTTCCTCCTAAATATAAAGACCCCATCCCTTATATTAGACACTTTAAAGAATACAATGACAGTAATACAACGATTCGACTCCACGAAGATATAGATAAGATTAAGTTTACAAAAAAAAATTGCAACGGGATACGATTTCGTGTAAACTCTATACAGCAGGCCTTGCAAACATATTCCGGAAAATGGCCTGGGTAGGGATGAGTGGAAAATATTTAGACCATCGACAATTTGCAGATATCAGAATCATTGGTTGGATTACTAGAACATCCAAAAATGACTTAAATCGAGAAAAGAACCAAAAATAAGAACTAAACTAAATGCCTTGTTCCATTGTGACGTTCTGAATAAAAATAAATAAATAAAAGATGAACTGGAAGAAGTCCAAGAATACATATATTTAGGACAGGTGATAACATTCCAAAGAGACAACGGAAATGGAACAAACCGATATATAACAATGGGCTGGAAAGCATAAAGCAAAAGTAGACATATGATGAAAAGCAACTTACCAAAACGTAAACGATGTATAATGGTAGCTATGGAGTCCAGGTGTGAAACTAAGAAACTGAAAAAAATACTTGAAAACAAACTTCAAATGTACAAGTTTCTTACTGATTATAAACCAAATACAAAACTCTCAAAGTAGAGGGTTACTGAATGAAGTTGCTGTACGAACGTAAGAGGAGAATGTGAGAAGCGCAGGCTGTGAGGATTATGTATGAAAGATAACGGTTGACCCTACACTTGAAAAGGTTAAGATTGAGCGATCGGGAAAGCACCTTCTCGGGAGCATACTTTACCAAATACCGGTTCTCGGAAAGAAACTGTACGAATAGAACTTCCTTCTTGCCAATGGTATACGAAGGGGATGAAGGCGTTTCGTGTAACGATGGCAAGACGGGTCTTAGCTGTGAAGGTTTCAACTGCTGGTGACCAATGAATGTAGTTTGTCAGAACATTTGCCGTGGAAATAGCGATAGAATATCGAGAGGCTTGCGACGTTTTGTCTCTGTGAATTGGGTTGTAGATTTTTAAAAAAAATACGCACAAAAACCGTGTAGCTGCTTTTGAACTCTGTCCAGGCTGGAAAGTGAGGATTGTGCAGCTTCAGACAGCTATTGCAGCTGTAGTCCCTTTTTGGTTCGACACTTGTAAAGAGGACAAACATGGTGGCCATGGAAGGATTTTATAATGACCTTTCTCCTGCAGTGCACTAGCAATTAATAAAAGAAAAATTTCACATACATAGATATGTGCGCTACATTGGAGTAACCATATATTTGGTTAAAAAATGAATTAGTATCTACCAAAAATTGGGGTAGAGTAAAGGTTAAAAGAGACGTTTAGGTTACAATTTGCTACCGAAATGAATTCGACGTCAGTAAGTTGCTCATCTACTGTAGGCCTGAAACAGGCGAATCTTATTAGGTTGGTGCAAAAATAATGACGTAATAATGTCGTTTTTTGACGTTTAAAAATACGTCAAAAAACGACATTATTACGTCATTATTTTTGCACCAACCTAATTTTTATAAATTATATTGAGGAAACTCGTCGGCTAAGATAAGTTTTCTTTTCGTTTTTATTCATACTGCATCTGAAATTTGTATACACTCTCACATATCCCTCCTATATATATATATATATATATATATATATATATATATATATATATATATAATTTTATAATAAAAATACCCCCATTATGTATATATATATATATATATATATATATATATTAATTAATAATAAAAATCTTAATCGCAGTGCCCTGTCAGTTGTTTTCAATGAAACCTGTATAAAAGAGGTATTGCTGTCCAAATTACCTATTACATACATAGACCTATCTATATATATATATATATATATATATATATATATATATATATATATATATATATATATACCTTAATTACAATTTCTGGGAAAGACCACATAATCTGGTGTGATCACCAATTTGAACAATGCCACAACAAGAATTGTTCATGTTAGCTCGCTCATATATATATATATATATATATATATATATATATATATATATATATATAATCTGAACCACACGTACTAAATGAATGTAATGTAGTACGGACTTTAGCCCGCCGCTACCTTTTGTAAGTCGGTGTCTTTAATGTAATGTTAGAAAGTAGATGTTTAAAGGAAGTATTCTTTTCATTGTTAATTTTTATGCTTGCCTATATATTCCGGGAAAGTGTTTCAAATTCGCCTACATTTTGATGTTTGATAAATATGAAAAATAACATGAAAAGTTGAGAATTTGTTAAAAAAACCAAAAAACAGTAAATTTTATAGAACGCGAGAGGTCTTATTTTTTTCGTAAAAATGTATATTTATTTATTTTCCGATTTTTGGAGCAGTTTTCCATTAGGTCGTAGTCGTAAAAATAGCGTAAATTAGGTGGATGCATTTAAAAAGAAGAAATAAAAAATACTTTGTGCGGGCGGTTAACAACTACGACAGATAATTATGAAAATATCAACGAGACTGACATTACCATAAACATCTTTCGCTTTAAATGATCGGTGAGAGGGTTGGGGTAAAATAAAATGGGGAAAAAAAAATAGGAAAATACTTTTGCATGTCTCTTCTTTTTGTGTAAGTCATATTTTCTCTTTGGAGCTGACTCATTCTTTCTCTTTAATTGCAAAGAAAAATATGGTGCGGCAGGGGTATTCTTGTGATGCGTTTTGTTCGTTCGCATTTTAGATTAAAATGAGTCGTTTAGTTCCTTGTTCAATTTAACAGAGTTTGAGGCAGAATGAGAGAAACAACCCCTGTTCTACGTTTAAGACCTCCGTTGACTCAGCCAAAGATTTTTAAAACACAGGCATTATAATGACAATTAGATTTGAACGCTTTCTACTATTTCCAATTGGTTGAGCTTCCTCTTATTCCTTTGAAAAGGACCAAGAACAACCTCTTTACTTCCCCTGTGTTTTCTCTTCCTTCCCTTTTTCTGTGATTTAAGACTTCTGTGATCGTTTTATGAATGTCTTGTAATTATGGAATGAGATATTTGAAGGTATTAAAAGGAAGATACCTCTTCTTCGAACACTGCATTCATCACAGAATTGAAACATCATATTTTAATCTGTAAATTTCCGACCTTCATCAAATAAGGGAATTAGATTCGGAACTTGCGAAGTGTCACTTGTACTAAAATTTAAGCAAAATTCCCCACCAGCCA